GGGTACTTCTCCCACGTCCGCAGGCCTCCTCCCGCAGCCCCGGCTCCCAGCCCCCATTACCTTTCCTTCTTGTCTCTCTTATTGACGTCACTTCTCGTGAGCAGAAGGTACTTCAGTTTCTCCAGCCTACCATAGCAGATAGCTCTGTGGATCCTTCTCAGATGAGACAATTTGATGCGGTATTCGGGAAATGAGAAGCCATCTAAGCGCAAGCGCTCCTTGAGGGTGGGCCACCTCTCCGGCTTGTAGTCGTCGAACATCTTTAGGCCACTCATTGGCGGCAACTCGTAGCCTGGGAACGACTTTCGGTTAAGGTCACCGGCTTCAGTCACATTTCATCTCGCCTTCGGGGATCGCCGCCTCCGAAGCGCAACAACAAGCAATGCAGTCAGTCCACGGACCTCAGCACACTCAGCGCCTCCCGCCTCTCAGCAGAAACGCCCAACAGAACTGTTAGGACCAGCGAGCACGCGCACCTTAGCCGGCCCCGCCCTACAGGCCCGAGGCAGAGTAACCGCCCTAGCAGCTCTCGCGGAGCCACGTGCAGGCGGAGGTTGCTGCGGAAGCGCCGCGGGCTGGCGGGGCTCCCTGGAGCGCCAGGCGCGCCCTGCCCCAGGGCCTGACTGTCGCCCGCGCCCTCTTGTCCCCTTCCACATGCTCCCGACGCGCGGGACCCCCCGCGCTGGGCCCCCTGCAGCCCAGGGATAGGGTCGAGTGGCGCCTCTCCGCCTGGTGCCGCCGTCGGGCCCACAGCCTGACTTCGCTACTGCGTCGCCCCCTGGGTCCGCGCTGATGGGCACGAGGCGGGAGGACGGGATCCGGGGTTGCCACCGCTGCAGCCAGCGCACCACTTGCAGGTGGCAGCTGCAGCTCGGGCTCCAGCGGGGGCTGGCGGGGCTCCCCTGGGATGGCCTCCTGGTCCCTGAGTGCGCCGTCCATCCGGCCGGAGGGTGCGCGCCTCCTGCACCCTAAGCTGAAGCCCATGCCTTGCTCTCCTGCCGCCTACTGCCTGACTTGCCGCTGCCCTGCCAGGCCCGGGGTCCAAGCGGCTGGAGGCGCAGTCCTGGTTGGGGACTCCCAATCCTCGGCGACCCCTGCTCCAGGTGCTGGTAGCCGCTGCACTGCAGCGCCCGTGGGCTGACGTGGCTTACCGGAGCTGCTGCTGGCCTCGCCCAAAGGCCCCACAGGCTGCGCCGCCCTTGCCAGCTGCTCCTGACCCGAGCCCAGAGCGCAGGACCTGGCGCTTGGCACTCTGTAGCCACGGGGATGAGGCTGAGCGCCGGTTCTTGGCCTCTTGGCGCCGCTGGGGCCATAACCTGACTTGATCACCCAGTCGCCCAAGTCGTGTGATGGGCACGTGTGAGGAGGGGCAATCGGGGTTCCCATGGCTGCTGCCTGCATGCCACTCCGTGGCCACTAGAATAGGGCTGAGGAGCCGCCAGTGGATGAGCAAGTCGTGGCCGTCGGGATGAGGCTGAGAGTCTATCCATCCGTATGCACCTGCCCAGTCGACTTCCCGACAGCCACTACCTCAGCGTCCTGTCAGGGAGTGGTTGCTGCTGAGGTGGGGGTGGGGAGGGCATGGAGAATCAGAGATAGTCTGACCATTGCTGCCGGTGCCTGACGTGCAGGTGGCAGCTGCACCTAGGGCGCTGGCAGGGGCTGGTAGGTCTTCTCTTTTGGATGGTCTCCAGGTGGACCATTGCACCGTGGCAAAGCCCGAGGGTCCACTCCATCTTAGCCCACACTAGGAGTCCAGGGGCCACAGAAACGGGTACTGCGTGGCCAACCAGAAGGGGCTCAGCAGCCAGTTCAGCTTTCCTGCCTCTGCAGGGCCTGGTTGACAGTTGTGGCAGTGTCTGGTGCAAGAGTCTGCAGTTAGGGTCCTGGCTGGGGAAGGGGTGGGCAGATGGGGGTTGCCTGGCCACTGAAGCCCAAGGGAGACATGCAGGTGGCAGCTGCACTACAGGCACAAGAGCAGGCTAGCAGGACTCCCCTGGGATGGCCTCCGGGTCGCTGAGTGTACTGCCAACCTGGTTTAGGAGTCCACTCCTAATCGACCCTTGCCTGGAGCATGGACCGTGGCACTGGTCACACTGCAGTCACATGCATGGGGCTGAGGGGGTTTTCTGGGGTGGAGCCACTGACCCTCCGACTGCCTGACTTCATGCCATGTGAATAATTGCAACCATGTGAATAATTTCATAAAATGTAAATTAAGCACAAATATTAAAAGAACAAAGCTGAAGGCATCACACTAACTGACTTCAAACTTTACTACAAGGTTACAGTAACCAAAACAGCATGGTACTGGTACCAAAACAGATATATAGAGCAATGGAACAGAACAGAGGCCTCAGAAGTAACACCACACATCTGCAATCATCTGATCTTTGACAAACCTGGCACAAACAAGCAATGGGGAGAGATTCCCTATTTAATAAATGGTGTTCAGAAAACTAGCTAGCCATATGCAGAAAAATGAAACTGAATCACTTCCTTACACATTATACAAAAATTAACTGAAGATGGATTAAAGACTTAAACGTAAGACCTAAAACCATAAAAATCCTAGAAGAAAACCTAGGCAATACCATTCAGGACATAGGCACTGGCAAAGACTTGATGTCTCAAACACCGAAAGCAATGGCAGCAAAAGCCAAAATTGACAAATGGGACCTAATTAAACTCAAGAGCTTCTCTGCAGCAAAGCAACTATCATCAAAGTGAACAGGCAACCTACAGAATGGGAGAAAATTTTTACAATCTATCCATCTGACAAAGGGCTAATCTACAAATTTAGGCCAGGCACGGTGGCTCAAGCCTGTAATTCCAGCACTTTGGGAGGCTGAAGCGGGCGAATCATGAGGTCTGGAGATCCAGACCATCCTGGCTAACACAGTGAAACCTTGTTTCTATAAAAATACAAAAAATTAGCTGGGTGCAGTCATGGGCGCCTGTAGTCCTAGCTGAGGCAGAAGAATGGTGTGACCCTGAGAGGCGGAGCTTGCAGTGAGCCAAGAT